TGGAGCCGGCAGCCTCGGCCGTTGTCCCCCGGGCCCTTTCTCTGCAGCGCTCCCGCCTGTCTGGCGCACAAATCCAGTCCTTTACCTCAGGGGATGCCGTGAAGAAAGGGCAGGTCCGAGCTGAGGCTTGAGTAGCTCCCACACTCTTAGAAAACTACACGCTCCTCGCTTGTACGCTACGTAACGTAAAGTAAAATGAGCAAGAGCTTCCTTTGTGCATCTAAAATTACTTTCACCCTGTGTCCCGTTAGCAAAGTGCCTTGAAACATGCAGAATTTTGAAGGCAAGCTCTGATATGCAGAAAATTTCAGAGGCCTTTGTACCTAGGTCGGTATTTGTGCCAGCTTCAGTGTTGTTTTTTCACTCTTACCCCACGTGTGGCACTGAAAAACCTCTGATTGTAACTAGGCAGTCAAATATGCATCATTTGCCTTTAAGTTTGGACAGTTTTTAACTGGACCGAGCGTAGGGGTAATGACACCCTAGAAATTAATGTATAGCAGAGGGAGAATCAGTTGTTCCCTTTATCTTGATGTTTACCAGTCACTCTCTTTTAATAAAAAGCATTGCTGTTTGGGGTTTTTTTAGTACTGATGGGATACTCATTTTCCCCTTAGTTCATCACATGCTGATAATTACTGTTATGGTCTTAAGGAGGTTAAAGCATGTTCAACCCAAAGCTTAGTAAAAATCAGAATGGTTGTGTTTATAACAACTGAAAGGTGTCATGAGAAAGAAAATTAATTTTTAATAGGAAGGAAGAAGGAAATGCAATTATATTATTTGATGTTCAGCTGTTTATCAGGCTTTCTGGATGCAGCAGAATATTAACTTCATGTCTGTGTTACATTTCAGAAGTCACCACAGTGACGGTAGCTAACGTTGGTGCCTCCGCAGACAATGTTTTCACTACATCTGTGGCAAATGCAGCTTCAATTTCAGGACATGTGTTGGTAAGTCTGTCCTTTCATTTGAGGGCCTTAGCAAAGTGCCACATACTTACTTAGTGTAAATGAGCTTGGTTTGTGTTCAAGCAGTAGTAAGGTGAAAGATATGTTTTCATTGCAATATACAGGTTTTAAGCCACAAAACCATTAGCTGGGGGACATACATCTTTTTTCTTTATCACTTGGAGAGGTTTTTTTTTTTTTACCTTTCCACCCCCATATACGCATTCTGTAATGGAACGGAATACCTGGAACATGTAACTTTTTAATTTGGTTGGCTGAAACCTCAAAAACTAACCTGTAACTGCTATACTGATTGGTGTTTTAGGGTACCTTTGAGAAGATTTGTGGGAATACTAAAATACATTGGTACTTTAACTCTATCAATTTAAACTCTTTATTTCTTCTATAGTCTGGGAGAACGGCCCTCCAAATTGGGGACAGCTTGAATACTGAAAAAGCCACTCTCATAGTGGTTCACACAGACGGCAGCATTGTAGAAACCACAGGGTTGAAGGGGCCATCAGCACCTCTCACACCAGGTATAAGGCAATCTGTTTTTGAAGTGTCATTCTTCCGGAGGGGTCGCTTTTTCTCTATTTTAATTGTGTTGCTAGGATTAAAAAACATTATGTGCATAATATTATGCAGTTGCCTTATAAGGACCATTTGTCCCCTTTTCACATGGGGGCCTTTCTTGTATTTCTTGGAAGTAGAAGAATACTTACTTTGTTTGTTTGTTTGTTTGTTTTTTCCTGTCAGAAATATTTCATTTTCTTACTCTTTGCCCTAACCCTTGCAAATAAGCTTCCTGAAAAATCTTGCCCTGCTGCTGGGCTGTCACATGCCTTTCTAGACCCATCCCACCCCCAAAGGCAGATGGATCATTTTAATGTCGATAATAAAAATATGAGTCTCCTAGTTCTGCACGTGGGTTCTTTTTAAAGGATCCTTGAATATAGTTTTATCTCCACCCAGGAGATGCTGATATTTAAGTGTCACAATAGCTATTGCTAAGGTTTTGTTCTTGGCTGTTTGGCAGTTTCCTTTCTGCCCACAAGATGGCAAGGCAAACCTTTAAGGGTGTAAAACACCTTACAGAATTGGCCTCTGGTAAGGGGAAGATCTGGCCAGCCTCTTACACCACTGTGGGTTACAACCTCTACGCTGTTAGAGTGTGTTTCCTAAGACGCAGTTTGCTTTATTTTTCAGTCGTTTTCAGAACGTTCAAGCTGCATTTTTCATGGGGCACCGTGTAACTCACATTGCTGTGGAGGGGTGTCAGCTGCTTCAGTTAACCACTTGACACTGTTGCCCCAGCCAAGCTGAGCATGTGAAGATATAGCTAGTGTGCTTTTTGGTTGCTGTCACCTTTCTCTTCTTTTTTTCAAAGGACCGCAATCTCCTCCTGCCCCTTTAACATCTGTCCAAGAAAAAACTGGAACCAAGTACAACTGGGACCCGTCTGTGTATGAGAATGAGCTCCCAGTGAGGTGCCGGAATATCAGTGGCATTCTGTATAAAAACAGACTCGGCTCAGGTAACGACGACCTTCCTGGATGAGGAAGTGCGACGGCTCCTTCTTCACTCTGTGCACTCTTGTTTTAATCAGGCTGCTTTTAAAGGCCAATCATGGGGGAAAAAAAGACAGTTTCCTAGCCAGACTAGTCCCTTTCGATATTATTGTTCTCTTCTGTTTTGCTCGCTCTTTAGAGTCTTTTTAACTTTTTTCTTAATTCTGTGAAGATACAGGCTGCTGTGCAGTGAGTCTCCCCAGTAATAGGATGACTCCTCTAATGTTCTTTTTGTCTCAGAAGTAGACCTGTGTTTCTACAAAGCTCTAAAGAATCCCTGCTGGAATGGAAGATAGCGAGCTTGTCTCCTAATGGGACTTCTTAGCTGCCTTAGTCCCTCCTCTTCTCTTTTATCTCTGCGGGGAAGCTGAAGAAGCAGCAGCAGAAATTGTCGGCAAGCCTGACTGCACAGCACGGCACTTGCTTCATGGATAGAGAGTTTTCTTCACAAGCAGAAGGATTAGAAATTTAAGTGCAAATTAAGGAAGGGCTTAAATTCATGGTGTTTACCCAAGAAAGACTTGCCCTTCTTGTGGATGGGTTGCTTTTTCTAGCCTTTTGATGCATTGGTGTGGCCCAAAGTTGGAGCTCTCTAAACACACACAGTCGTTGTCACAGCCAAGATAATAAATGGGCATGGTTTATCTTACAGTGATGAGAAGTAGCAGATGGGCATATTTAGTGGTTGCTATAGATTAACTGCTATTTTGTTGAGCAATTTCAGTATTTACTTCTCTAGGAAGGTGGCAAAATGAGTCTTAACCTTTACTAACAATTTCTTTCTTCTATTTTATTTCAGGAGGTCGTGGTAGGTGCATTAAGCAAGGGGACAACTGGTACAGCCCCACTGAATTTGAAGCAATGGCAGGACGAGCCAGCAGCAAAGACTGGAAAAGGAGCATCCGCTATGCTGGGAGGCCACTGCAGTGCCTTATTCACGTAAGGTTAAGTTTGCTTCCTCCTTTCTGCTGGAAGAGGCAGGTGAAATCTGGGCAGAGTCTGCCCAGTGCCACAGTCCAAGCCGCATGTGCTGCCTTGGCAGAGTTATGTGTGATGATGCTATGGGGCAACTTGGCAGCAATGTTTTGATTTGGTTGAGAATCAGTGATGTGAGAGGAAGGCTTCTAGATGTGTTTTCAAATAGCACAATACAAATCTTGCTTGTACTTGAAAAGGGGTTACAGTTTATGCAGGATGAAGTCCAGCCTTGAGCTGTAGGGCAGAAATTGAGCAGTGAGCTCTCACCCATGACACTGTAATTCAGTAACCTGATCTGCTTAATTCTGTTTGCCTGGCAAACATGTTCTTCACTTGCACCCTTTGTTGAGTATTTCTTTGTATCCGTTATTTCCTGCAGCGTCCAGGAGTCTCAGGGAGAATTTGGCATTGATATTATGTTGACAGTTGATTTCTGCTTGGGCAGAAACTTTTAATAAAAGTCTCAAATTCATATATCCTTGCCTTTTGATTTGAAAATTTTTGTTCTCCCTTCACTCTCCTCCTATCCATTCACCCCATCACCATGGTGTAGGGGAGCTGGCCCCTCTGGTATTGTATAGGGTCCCTAGGAGGGAACAGGTATGTCTCTCTGGGAGCTGTCTGAATCTTTTAGCAGAATGCAACCATGCTCTCAGTGTTTTTGGTGACTCTAATGCTGAACTAATAATCTTCTAATTTCAGGATGGGATTTTAAATCCTCACGCTGCCTCTTGTACTTGTGCTGCTTGCTGTGACGACATGACGCTGGTGAGTTGTTGGTTTTACATCCATTAGTTTAAAACCAATTAATCGGTCAAGCTGCCACAGCCGTTTGTGAGCAGGTTATGAATGTCCTAGAAATGTTCACGAGTACTGTGGTTGCAGCATGCTTTGTCCATGCTTCATAAAGAAAGGAGATAAGGAACTGCTAGCACTATTGTGTAGCAGCCTCAGTAAAACTGGGTGATAGTTAATGCTTTTTTCCTTCTTTTCTTAAGAATGTATTTATGTAAAGTGCCTTTTGGAGATGTCAAAGCTATTTGTGATTTTTGACTCAAATTTCACAATTTTTTGAGCTGGAAAAATGTTTTTATAAGGAGGTAATGTAATACTCTCTGTTGGATCCATATTTTTGTATTAAGCTGCTTGGGTTTGTTGGTTGGTTTGGGGTTTGGTTTGTTGGTTGTTTGTTTCAAAAATTAGGTTAAGGTCCTGAAAGCAGAAGTCTTCAGTTTGACTTGAAGTAGTGTTCTGCATTTCTTTTCTGCTATGAACTGGATGATTTGCTTGTTTCCTAAACCTGAAGCTATCTGTTTCCTGTCTCCCTCTCACTCTTGTTCTCTTTTCTCCCACCACCTTGGCCAGTGGTCAATTATTTGCCCAGTTCTGCTCCTTAAATAATAGTGGGAAGAGGCTGAATCTCTGCCTCTTCAGCTGGAGGGAGCTGAGCATAACTTTTTTTTCACAGAGTTCTTTTGTTTTGGAAAAGTAGAAGTTTTTTGGTCAATTGTTGCAAACTACACATCTTCCATGGGAATACGTGCTGCTTGACCTTAGCTGGATCTGGAAAGATGAGAAGTAAACCCAAAATACCCAAAGAGGTACCTCAGCTAATGCCTTTTCCTTTTTCTTTTTTTTTGTGTGTTTTGCATAGAGTGGCCCTGTACGACTCTTTGTACCATACAAAAGGCGGAAAAAAGAAAATGAAATGCCTGCAACTCCAGTGAAGAAGGATTGCCCCAAAAACATCACTCTGCTTCCTGCCACAGCTGCTACTACATGTAGGTTCTTTGGTAAAAATTGCTTCCCTTTTTTGATGACAAATTGCCACGCTAGATATCATATGTCTATCAGTGGCCCCTTGGAATTAGCCAGCTGAAACAATGTCTTATTTTTTGCCACCTTCTTTTCATTGGATAGTTTTATTGGCTCAGTGTCTTTAGCTAATTTCACTTCCTATTTTGTAGAAACTAGCACAGTGTTGCCACATTGGGACTGCAGGTTGAGTAGGAAAAAGTAAAACTCTAGGCTTCCAGGAGATTAGGTTTTCAGCATCTTAAACATCCTTTTGCAGTGAGCAGTAGGTTTCATATTTTGTTCTGAGAGGTCTGGATTATGTTTCCCCTCTCTACCTTCTCTCTCAGCCTGATAGTGCAGGGGGAGTTGTGGAGTTCTGGCCTTGATCCGTAGTGCTTTCAGGTGGGTTTTTCACAAATCACAATTGAGAAATTTTCTCCTGTTAAAATTAGGTTAAGGGGAAGGCTGGCCCTTCTCTGCTCTTCCAGAAATCTCCATTCCATCCTCTGAGCTTGTTTTTTGTCCTTTAGAAGCTGGTGGGGGCTATGGGGTAAGATTTGTGCTATTTCTTGAAATACGTAGAAAAGTAGGCTCTAAGCAGCTGGAAGGAAATCCACAGCCTGAAACTCGTTAATGAAAGAGGCAGAAGGTGATGCTTTCATCTGCAAATTCCTCTCTGACATTCAGGACATACTTTGTTACTTACTGTTTTTGATTGTCAAAGCATCTGTGTAGAACAGAAATTAATTTGCAAGCTCATCCAGCTCACACGTCTCCCAGTCACATTCATGTGTCCTCCTGCTCTCATCACACTAGCATCATCTGGATGGCAACATTACAAAGTGAATTGAGGAGGAAGCAACAGAAATCCAAAAAAGAACAGCCAAAAGTAAGATTAGATGAGCAGCAGCAGGAAGAGAAATACGCAAGGATTCTATAGGGTTTTAGGGGTTTTTTTAATCCCCCACAGAGGTGTAATCTCTGTTGGTTTGTTAATGTGAGGTGCTGTGAGGTTGCATGTTTGCTCATGCTGGCATTGGGAGAGAGGCATTTGGTAGTAGCCACATATTTCACCAGGCGTGAATCTGTAGCCTCAATGTCTTAAAATTGAATTACTCTCTGTGAAAAGATCCTTCTGCCTGACCAGTGTGTCACAGAATCAGCCCATTACCAAGTAATGGTGCCAGATTAATTAATCCTGTTTAAGAAGGGTTTTAAACATTTTAGAGCCACTCAGGTATATATATCCAAAAGGATTTTGTGACTTGTTCCTTGCATTGGCCAAGCATATTATGTCACTCTGTATAAAAGACAGCTAAAATTGTCTAGCTAACTAAACTGTTATAGAATTAGTTGTAATTCACTGGGTTTTTATGTTGATTTAAGTAGTGAGAACCACTCTTGCTAAAGTTGTAAGAAATTAGGATCAGCCATAAGCAGATGGGTTTTGTGGCTCCACTGAACCTTTACGGTAGGTGTTAAGTTTTTGCTCATATAATAATTGAAAAGGTGGTGATTTGGGAGGCATTATGGTAAGTGAACATTCTAGCCTCGTACACCCAAAGAATAAGCAGAGGCCCACAGGAGGCCAGCAGTGCCTTCAGAAGCCAGATGGGGCTTTTATTCCCATTTCCAATGGTATGGGTCACAGGTGTGATCCAAACCTGGGTTATCACAGGCCATTTACTGATCTGTGAGTGCTCTGACCTTGGATGATTCAGAACAGGGATATCAACAGCTTAACAACCGAGGCCTCTGCGCTGAGTGTTAATTATGAAAGTACTTCTAATATTTCCAGTCACCGTGACTCCTTCTGGACAGATCACTACCTCCGGTGCTCTGACATTTGACCGTGCATCGACAGTGGAAGCCACAGCAATTATCTCGGAAAGTCCGTCCCAGGGTGATGTTTTCACTGGAGCCGCTGGTAAGAGTTCAGGTGTATGTCTGGGAGAAGGAGAAAAAAAGGTTTGCACACCCCTTGTTACAGGAAGAAGCATTCTGAATGCTGCACAAAGGGTTTATTTCTCAAGAGCTTGCAGAGACGTAACCCACTGTCCTTCCTTTGAAATGATTTCAGCAGCTTGAAATCTTACCTGTTGCACAAAAGAAGTTAGAAGTTTTGTCCAGATGTTGCAGCTGCTAATGTACAGCTCTGCTGATTCCTAGGGTTTTATGGTCAGCTCTGTAATTTTTTTCACTCCTCCTTTGTCCTAAAATACTACCAAAAAAAACCCCCAAACTAGCTCAGTGTTGAAACGAAGTGAAAAATGCTGAGTAAGTGCTGAAAAATGTCAGAATAAAACAAACAAAATATAAATGCATGACATATAATTCAGTTCTTTCAGTTTGATTCATACACAGCTCTGCTGAGGAACTGTCCTGCTCTGAGAAACACAGTTTGGAGTTTTGTGATTATTGTAAATATACAGGTGTGTGGGGCAGAAGCCAGCAGTAACCTTTGCCTTTAAAAGTGAAAGCAGAGAGATGCAATCAGTACAAGGTTGCCTTGCTTGCTAACTGTGTAAGATCGTGCTACTGTTTCTCATTTGCAGTCCCTGGAATTACCACAGAATGTAGGAACTTACATATACATTTATACATATATATATGTATAAAATGTAAAATGTATAAAATGTAGGAACTTACATATATGTATAAAATGTAAAAAAAAAATGAGTGAAAGAAGCATAAGAAATGCCTGACAGCTGTGTTACACAATGATTCATAATGCCGTTCTTCTGCAGTTCAGGATACCAACGTACAGCAGCCTTGCCGGGTCAATCATCCAGAACCGCACTATCCAAGTTACCAGGACAACTGTCAGATTTCACCTTTTCCTGAAGCTGCACTGCCAACATCTCATCCCAAAATTGGTATGTTTTATGTCTGTCACATGAGATGCAGTTATCAGTGTTTGAATTTACTCTTTAATCTTCTTTCTCAGCAAAGGGAAAGATTGAGGCAGAAAAACAAACTTTGCTCTGTTTTGCTTACAAGTTTTGTGGTTATTAAGATTTGGACAAACATTTTCTGCTCTATGGAAAGTTTTTCACTCCATAATTGAGAACTTTGATTTGTTGGTTTCTACCACAGGAGGTACTTGTCATCCTGCTTCCTAAATCGTTTTGCAGTCCCTTGCCTTTCCTAAGGCTTTTGCTTCAAGGCTTTTGTCACCACTTGGGCACTGTGGCTAAACATTTATTTAGTTTTTGGTCTAAGGAACCATCCTCTTTAAAATGATGTCACAGAATTCTTCTCTAAAAATGCCCACATCTCTTTATGAATCCACTGATACACGCTGGAGGCAGCTTTGGACAGGTTTGGTGTGCTCTTCTCGCATCCAGTGTCAGTTTTCCAGGCCTTGATGCTGATGTTTGTGCTGGAATGACAGGTACTGGTTAACAAGTGCCAGTGGGAGCCTCGCACCTGCTCTCCAGAGTCCATAGACTCTGGAGTTAAAAAAAAAGAAAAGCTGGTATGAGAAATGCCAAGTGCAAATCAGCCCTTTAGTGTTTGATAGGACAGGTTAAACTGATTCTCAAGTATCTCTTCAAATGTAATTGTTACGTAAACTTAATGACCTTTCATTTGTAGAGCTGACTGATAAATTAAGTGAACTACAATGCTTGTACTGATAGAAACTGGAAGCGTTGAAGAAACTGCAGTTGCAAACTTGGAGTGTTGTTCTTGCTTTATGTGTTTTTTATCGAGCCTGGACAAGATATACAGCAGGGAATAGTCTGCCACTGTCTTGATTCAAAAAAGTTATCAATGGACGGAATGAAATCATGATGGATTAGGTGATTTATAGGCTTTTTACTTCTGCAATTTCTACGGTTCTGTGAAGTTACTCTGATACTTACTGATCTTGCTGACACAGGAGAGCTGTAAGACAGGCAGGTTTTGATCCCTGTTACTGGTCTCAGACATCAATAAAAGATCATGTAAACATGTAGTATATCCATTTGTGCAGTCTGAAGTCTTTCTTTTTTAAAGCCCATGTTCTCCCCTCAGTATGACCCTTTATTTACTTACTTACACTCAGTGTGTTCGTGCTCTGTCCAGAATGAAATCTTGTTGGTTTAAGTCTTAGATCTTGATGTTAGTAATTAAACATTGATTTTTTTTTTCCATTGGTGAATACTTTCTCTTGACTGATATACCTATGCTAAAATGAGGAATTGGAAGTGATTCCCGTTAGATAAGTTATCAAATGCCACGCTGGGATAAATATTGTGCTGGAAACACAATGCAGTGGAAAAGGCTCCTCTGCAAACAGCTGCTGATAAAAGACCGTATCTTTATCTCTTAGTCATATCTAAGTGCAAATAATTCTACGCCAGTCATGTGCAAATTGATTGAAATTACTATTTTAATTAAAGGCTGTTGAGACTAGAACTGCCGTTTACTGGTGTGGTGGACTTGCAGTGCTGTTGGTTACACATCTAACACACAGTGACCTGCAGTACCATGTTTTTTGAGACTTGCTCTCTCTCTCCAAATCTGTGCTGGATTCTTTCAGCTTTTGCTGCTTGCATGAAAAACTACCAGATATGACTGGAAAAGGGTTAATGTGTTTATACACACATTAGTTGCTGTCTTGGAAGATATTCAGTGTTCAGTGCAGTCTTGTGAGAAGTCTTGTTTGTCTGCAGATGTTTGATGAAGGAGAGGTTCACTGTGAGTGGAACTGCTGGCATTGCAGCCTGGTACAGGAAGGTGTCTTGGCCTGTTGCTGTGCGGGACAGTATTTACAGCTGAGTTTTAAGTAGCATTTGAAGTGTACTCAAAAAGACTTGTTCCAGAATGAGGGGGGGGGTGTCTATGTTCTGTGTTTCTTTTTTACTTTCTTTTTGGAGCCGCCTTAGACCAGTGTGACTGGAAAGCCAGTATCTGTAATGACATCCAAAACAGATTGTGATGGGGGATTAATAGTAAATGATAATAAAATGCTTTTCAGACACTTCAGCTTCTACGTTTTTGTTCAAGAACTTCCCACTTAGTAAATTTCTTAACTCTGGTTTCAAGGAGAAGAATCTGGCTCCAATAAAGGTCCATTTTAGTGAAAGCAGTGGTCAGCCCCCAGCAGTGCAGCTGCCTGCGGGGCACTCCCTGGCAGTGCTGCAGATGCTCATGGACATTGCCAGTGCGTTATCTTCTGTAGCACCAGCGGTGCGGGAGCTGGAGGACGAGCTGCCTGGCAGAGGCGCTGGCAGGGTCAAGAGTAGCGCTTCTAAAAGGAGAGCAGGCACTAGCGCGATGGGAACAGGATTTAAATCCCTCAGCGCTTCTGAAGTTACGTTCCCGACTGTGTTCAACGTTTCTCTGGGGGCAGTAGCAGCCATCGGTTGGAATGTTCCTGCGTTTATGGTGTGAATGTGTCACTCACTAGTTAAAAATCAAGGAAGCTAATTGGCTTTTGGAGCCTGGAATACTAACAGCTCTTCCCCTGACAATGCAGAACTATCCAGGAAGGAATGCGGTTTCTTAGCCTGCAGTACTTACTGCTTTTTCTGTGTGAAATGCCTACCATGAAGATGAGAGAAAAAATCCTGAAATAGACTACTGGTAGATTTTGGAGTAATGAGACTGCACAGCCCCCAAGTTGGTGGTGCCCTCTTTTTTCTAGTACACAATTTAGTGAGGAGTTTAGAGGTCACCTGTTGGTAGATGTGAATGTCTTGGACTTAATTTTATGGCAGATGGCAAGTATTTATCGCTAGAGTTAGAGTTAAATTTTGGAAAAGGCAGTAAAGCCAGGTAACATTTGATCCTGGAAATGTTGCCTGCAGTGAGCTTACACTGTGTATTGTTGGGTTCCTGGGTCTAGATTTAATTTCCTTACACTGTGGTCTCGCAGTGTATATGCAAGCCTAGTGTTGTGAAAAGTGGATGCTTTAGTGACACGGTAACTGCTAGTTTTTTGAAACATTTGCAAAGGTAAGGCTAAGACAGACATTGTTGGTTTTCTAGGACTTCAATTTTCTAACACAGGCAGTGTGAAAGGACTGCAGAGGCCCGATAATCGGGAGCGTGGAGGTAAGTTCAAGGAAAGTGTGATTAGATTACCAGGGTAGGAGTTCAGCTTCATTCTGCTGGCTTCCTACGAACAGCAGTTTCCATTAAGGTTATGGTTAGGATATGAAAAGTAAAGGCTGCAGCATCTCTATAATTGGTGGTGTTTTTGTCTTCTTTTCATGTCTCTTGGAGTATGTTTAGAAGTATTGCTGGGTTTCTGTGCTTTTGTGTTTCATTTTTTACCTGTAGCATTCTAGTTTATACAAAAGTGAAGAGTTGTAGTTAGGATTCTGGAGGAAAGGGCTGCAGGCAAGAAATTTCTGTCTTGAAAACTGTCCAACACAGTCAATGTAAAGCAAATGTCAGGAGACGTGTTTGAAGCTAAAACTTCCATCTGGACTGTATACATTCACTCTCACCTTTGGGATTAGGCAAGGAGTGGTTTCAGAGCTGCCATGAGCATTGCTGTTTTGAATACCCAGGGTATTTGAAACAGATACATATACTTGTGAATACCTTTATTACAATTTTTGGTGTTTCAGTGTGGTATGTGTATTTTTATGGCCATAGTTTGTTTTATGGGTAGGATGCAGGAGAGAGTCCTGCATCTGCAAGTCCTGCAAGTCCAAAGAAATTACAGTTAGCGAGGGTGTTTTTTAAAGGGCTTCCCAACCAGTGGTTTTGGAAAATGCCTGTTTGTAATGCGTGTAATTTTGAGGTGATGATGACTGTCTTGGGTTTATTCCAGTTTTGGGCCAGGGTTATGGTTAAGGTCAGAATTCAGGAAGTATAGGGGAGTGTGGTTTGGATCAGTGCCTATTTTTTGTAGTTTTGCAGCCTGAGAATTGACTTCTGTGTACTGACATCAGGTTATTTCAGAAAAGTATTGGGTCACGGAATTACTTCTTACAACCTTACTTAGCGATAGTTAAGGGAAACATTAAGTGGAGCATAGTGATGATAGCGGCGAGGAGTCCCTGGGAGGGCTGTTTTCACTGCTTCATTGTGCCTCTCTGCAGCAGTGCTAGGAGGTATTAATTCCTTCCCAGAGCAAACAGTAGGCTCAGAGGCTCAGGAGAACATGTTCTTCTGTCCCATGGGTTTGAGTGCCCCGAGGGCTTGTTCTGCCCAGACCGATTCTGTGCACTTCAGGTCACACAGGAGGTAGGTCTGCTTAGCAAAAACTGAGCTGGATTGGAAATTTTTGCGAACCATATTTTTAAAAAAAGCAACTAAACAATACAACCAAAAAAACCAAACAGCAATCCCCCCCCACTTTATGAAAATGAAATGCCCTAATTCTATATATTTTCTTTTTCTTTCTTTATATGCAGTATTAACCTCACTCCCTGCCCTGGCGGTGCCCCCCACGACCCCCACCAAAGCAATATCCCCTTCGGTGGTGAATGGGCTGGAAGTGACGGAGCAGCGGAGCTGGCTGTACTTGGAAGAGATGGTCAATTCACTGCTCAACACCGCCCAGCAGTTGAAGACTCTCATTGAACAGGCCAAACAGGCCAGCTCCTCCTTCCGCGAGGCTGCTGTCACACAAGCCAAAATTCAAGCCGATGTGGAGAGGAAAGAGGTAAGTGTGCTAGAGGAGGTGAGATGACTCAACCAAGGGCATCTTTTTGTCTGAGTGGTGAACAGAGTAGTACCTCACTGGTTGTCAATGGCTGTAACAGTGGTAGAAGAAATTAGAAGTTGTTTCTCAATGTCTTGAGAGCAGTATTACCAAGAGGAATCTTTTTGAGTTATTTGTATCATGGGAAAGGAATAGAGTTCTCTGGGATTCCAAGAGCTCAGGGTAGCAGGCTAGTAATACAAACTGTTTGATGTTACGAGTCCTGAGCTGTCCCATCAGACATCCTTAAGTTTAAGAGACATGGGCACTGAATCCTAGTATAGGAAGGATGGTGAGTGTTCAGCCGTGCGGTGGCTGCTTTCTTTACATCAAGTGAGTGGGGCTATCAAAGAGGCTTTCGATGGCCTGAAGCAGCAGAGGGTTAGAAAGAACAACAAACTGTAGAGTTTATGGGGAAGATAAGCAGCAAAATTTAGAGGTGTGTTGCTGAGCATTGTGCAAGCAAAGCTGATCTCGCATGAGTCCTGTGGTAAGACTGCAAGGCCGGCTGGCATTGCAGGAGTATTGGCTTGTACCCAGTGGCCCTCCTTTCCTCTGTAGGGGATTATCTACAAGGACTGCCCTGTTCTCCCTGCTTTTCTTCTCTTTAATTGATGCATGGTAGGGACCCTGGATTCTTTCTTAACACCAGCTCATGCATGCACCCTGAATCTGGCTCCATGCACTGCTGAATGCATTCCCCTTCTCCCCCAGATCCACAGCTGCTGGTGTGGACTCGAGGGGGAGAGGTGGGAGGCAATGTGCTGTGAAACTCGTGTCGTTGTTGGTAGCTGATGAACTCCCTCCTGTACACCACACTACCTGCTGTTGCCATCGGCGTTATTGCTAACGTCAGCTTTCCACTGAATTCATAGGCACGAGTGTGCAGCAAGAGACCTTGAAGAAATGTGTGTGGGAAGACTTTGCTGAGAACTGAGAACCCCTATGACAGTCCTTGCAGCGTCTTTGATATTCTTTGCCACGTTGTCTCTGCTAAACTCTTCTGTACGCTGCATCCTTGATGTGCAGGTGTGTGATATGTTGAGAGTCTTAATTCTTCCCTGCCTTCCGCCTGGGCAGAATGGGTATTCATGCTGCTGTCCAGGTTTGGGCCGTCTGCTGCTAAAAAGCTGTGTAGAGCATGGGATACCTAAAAATTGGAAGCTTTGACACAGTTTAGAGATGAACTTCTGACTTTGTTTAACTTCGCGCTCTGCTGTTTTTTCCAGTTTATGTGCTGTCTTCCCTTCTGTTTATCCTTACAGTGGTTTCTGGAATGGCTGTTCAGAGTCTATTACCCTCACCCTTTGATCCAAATCCAGCTCACTTCAGTGTACTTCTAGTTTCTTCTTGCCCTGGGAATGGGAGTTAAAATCACTCCTGTGTATTGATTAAAGTGCTGACTTTACAAGGCAAGGATGAGCACATGTTTGTTGCCAGAGGAAGTTCCTTTCCCAGTAACTATTGAATCCCCAGCTACACAACTTGTGTGTCTCAGCATTCATATCTTGTAATGGGTACCTCAACAGTTTTGTATTTTGATAAAAACACTTGCTTGTGGTGCTGTTTTTTTAATATCCAAATAATAATTCTCAAACTTGCTGCTGTGTGCCAGCATCTGGAGCCATCTGGATGATACTGAAAATAGTTATTTCTGAATTCCTTCTAGTGAATTCCATTTCTGGGAAAATACTCTGAGTTTCTGGGTGCAGGGCTGGCATTGGAAGTAATTACAATAAATGTCACATAATTGGCTGTCTGCTTTTGTGTTGGTCAGAGGTGCTTTTCTGACCTCATGAATGTTTCCCTGATTTGTAATGCAAGTCTCTTTCCCACTCCGAGTATGTGTGTGGTCAAACTGCTTTTTTTCACAGTTAAGGTGTATGAGAGGGAGAAAGAGGTGTCTCCCTACCTTGGTTCTGGTTGATTTTTGCTGGACCTGTTTAATGCAAAGGAAATAGGTGCTTTATCACTACTTTGTGTTTGTTACACTGACAGAACTTCCAGGGACTCACAAACAGGGGGAACCTTCTCGCCACCTCCTCGTTTTGTACAAGCGGAGATGGTGAAGGCAGCAGTGTGGGTGCTTCTCTGCAGCAGAGCCACCAGCTTGCAGAATTTCTGTGCTGCACTGTGTTCCTAGGTATTTAGAAGTGAAAGGTTGTGTCATTGTATCAGAGCTGCAGAGCAAAGGCTGTACAATAGATTAAATTATAATAGAGCTGTAGACTCAGCTCTTTCTGGAAGAGTGACTTAATACATAGCAGGATTAAAGAAATCTGTTAGGAGCAGGCCGGCTCCCAACAGGGTACACAAACTTCATTGCCATGACTGTAAATAATACGTATCTTTAGCATTCACAGTGGTGCAGAATGATTCCCCCAGTTCAGTGTCCCAGCTCTTGAGGATGTTGAGTTCAAGTACTTTTGATCTTGTAACTGTCTGTATCCCTGGCCGTGTCCCTCTGTCATCCCTCCTAAAGAGGGAGGTGGCCTCTGCCTTCCAACAGCAGAGCAAGACAGAGCGCTTGGGACACCAGTGTCTTCACCTGGCCTTCAGAGGAAGTCTGAGATGGCCCCAGGTTTAAGCAGAGTAGTGAAGAAGTGGCAAGAACAGAAAACATGTAGGAAAACTTACTTGTGTGCTAGTTTTGTTTCAGTCTTCCTAGGGAGCAATAAATTAAGCGTTAAGAATTTTTAATCATAGCTTATATGCTTCATTGTATATTGCAAAGCGTTTACTATATTGTGTTTCATTTATTATACTTCTTATTTAATGAGCTTTGGAGTTTATTAGATAGCACAAACGAGCCAGTTTGCTTCCATACAGCAGCAGTTTAGTTGACTTGGCTTTAAATACCAGGAGTTGTACTCTATGCTGAGCAGTGGTAAGTGCTTGTGGGACTTACAGAGCTCTGAACTGTGGAAGGCAGGCTTTTGCTCTGAGCTTTCTCTGAGGAGGGGAGGCATTTGTATATGCTTATGTTCTTATCTGTGAAGTCAAAGAGCAGACATCACTGTTTCATTCTGGTCATGCTTGCTAATGATATTCTCCAGGACTGTTCAAAGGACTCTTGGGAATACATCATTCCCCTCGTTTATATCATTTTGAAGGTGGAAATGCCACTATCGGAGAGGAATTGTGGCAGGAAGGGGATCTAAATGTAACAAGTGAAAACCATAAAAAATGATAAACACAACATAAATTAGAAACATCTACATCATGTTTCTTCCTTAAGATGGCATGTGTAGTCCGAATTTTGCAGGAGGATTGGATCCCTAATTGCAGTTGCAAACACATGGCGATACCTAGACACAGAGTCCTCGGAAACAACGGGCACTAACTGGGGAGTGCTGAGCGTTTAGGCATCGGGCTGTACAGTAGCGGAATATAAATGCCTGTCTTCATAGGCAATTATAGAAAATACGGAAAAATACACTTGGCTTCCTCTCTTCTCTCATGCCTGACATGAGGGTTTTTTCACTCTGCCTCCCTACTAGTACAATTACAGTCCTATAATGCCCTGTGTCAGGGTCTGGTGACGTCCTTAGCTGTTTTGAAGAAACTATAGGTCAGATTCCAAGTGCTGGAGCTAAAGGCTTCACCAGCAGTTTTTCTTGCACGTAATTTCTTAATTTGAAAGTCCTTGCATGCACTCTGTTGCTGTCTTTGTCCTTTTTAATTTTGGTAAATTTGTTTAAGGATCATGGTTTGCTGGGCAAGAAACAATGATGGCTGTAAGCCTTGTGCAGCTGGTGCTTGGCCTGCGTATGGCTTTATACTGGCAAGCATCAAATATGAGTTACATTTATGCTACCTAGAAGTCTTGGGGAATGACATTCTGAAAGAAAAGCAAACCGTAAACCCTCCAGCTCAGTGTGTATATTAACTTCCAAAATGCATCATGCTCATTGCAAAAAATGAAGATCTCAAAATATTTTTAAGCTTTTTCTGAACTGCAGCATTCTGCGTGGGATTCATTAAATACAGCTGCTGTGGCAAAACTTTATGCCACTGTTAAGGGAAAGTTCTCCACTGCCATTTCTAATTAGCTTGTGACTGAGAGTATCTGACCCTTTGGTTACTGCACATTTTGATTTAGGGAAAAGCATTTAGGAAGAGAGTGAGTGGGCCACCAAAGGCTCAGTGTCTCTTGCAAGAGGTATTTGACAACTTGCAGGACTGCCCCAAAAGGAATGGATTAAAGACAGTACTTTACACAAAGGTCTGTCTGCTTTGGCAATGTAATTTTTTTAGGCGTGCATTGTTTATATCAGATAAACTTTCAGGGTGAGAGGATACATGAACTCACCAAACTCTGTGCCTGAAGACATTGCTGGAAGATAATAAAGATATTCAGGCAATGTCTTAAACAGTTTTTCTGTAAATTTGTAAATGTAAAAGAATCAGTGTGGAAATCTGACAAGTGTTTTAATTGAAATAGCACTCTTGTAATGCAGTGATGCTTTTGGAGCCCAGACCGTTTGAAAACAAGGTGGAAGATTAAACCAGCTAACAGCTGGGCTATCTGAACTCTCTTTTAGAAAGATTAAAACAATTCAGGCCTGCAGAATATGAAATTGACCTAAAAAGGGCTGGACATTTAAGAAATGTAGCCCTAGTAAGCAAATAACGGCTTGAGTACTCCAAAGCAGCAAACAGCTGAGAATTGGAGGTTATTGGTTTTCTGGAGCCATTTTTGTGAGAGATCTGGATGTATCTGGCTTGATCCTCTCTCGTATCACACCTTTTCCTTCTCCGTAGTTTCTGCATGGCTTGAATTCTTCACACCGTGGGCTGTGCAGAACCGGAGGACTCGCTACGCGGATAGATAAAAAGGAGGCAGAAGGGGATTAAACGTGTGGTTTCCATCAGCGGGTCTCCAGGGCTGAGCACAGAGGTGAAGGAGCTGCTGTGGCTCAGACAAGGACAGTGGTGGCTGCAGTTCCTCTTGATGTCTTTCTCATTGGCAATCTCCCTGGAAAACAGGATTAGCCACGCTTGTAGAAGAGGAAGTGGACTCTGGTGGTGGGAAGGGTTTTAATTCCAGAGCTGCGGCACTTTCGCAGAACTGGAATTCAGTGTGTTCAGCCCCAGCACTGTATCTGCACAGGCTGTTGCAGAGGGGATGGTACTAGCTGGGATTATGTGTGCAAAGGTTTTCAAGCTGGGTTGAAATGCCAGCTCACTGTATGCTTTCGTATCTGTATTTCCTCTTTCTTCACTAAAAAGAAGTTTAGAAACATTACACAGTTTTCCCAGGCCAGTACTCTTAACATGGATCATTTGTCTTTCACTTAATAGTGGAAAACTCATTTTAACCTTCCCTGAAGAATCCACTGTTTCCTGCCAGCCCAGTTCTCTACCTGTGTGCAGGGTGACAGAGGGCAGAGGCTGTGGCATGGCGTTGAGTCCCAGCTTCTCCATGGCCGCTGCTCACCGACGTTAATGATTATCTCAAGAATCAAGGTCATTTTCTTCAGACATAGCAGTATTCATTCTTAGGCCAGCGGCCACATCTCAAGCTTGCCAGTGTATTCCCTATCTTCACAAGAATGCTTATGGCTTGGATTCAATTTTGGTTTTCAAAATAGTAATTTTGAAACTTCCATACACGTGATGCACACTTTGCCTATGCGGTACTGGAAGACTCAGGGATGCAGTGCTCGTGTCCTGTCTTGCTAATTAGCCTGGTCTTGACTGTTTGTCAAATAATGGCAGAACACCATCACACCCCTTGCAGTGTACAGCAAGAGGTTTCCCTGCTGTCTCCTCCATCTCCCTAGAGTTTTTTAATTTGAATTTGTGTCATGGTAATGTAAAGGTTTTGAAGGTTGTGATTTCATGGGAGAATAAATACTGTAATGTCAGGTCATAGAGATGCTTGTAAATTAAGCCTTTAATCTCCTTATATGTTGGGTCATAGTCACTCCTGGATAAACCTGCTTTGCCTGAAAGTGGGAGTTCGCGTTTTTTTCTTGCTTTTTAACTGTTCCAAATAAATTTAAATCAGGCTTAGCACATAATCAAATCGTGAATAGTTTCGAATTCCTTTGTTTTAGGACTCCTGTCCTTCAGCAGCATTGGCTGCTGAGCGTGGCAAGGCATAGGCTGGACTTGAACTGGTTTGGAGTAAATCTGCAACACACCCGAAGTGTGCTCTAAAAGTCACCTCCAGAGAACTGCTTAATTCAGTAACTTTTTGAAAGCCCTTTTATGCTTTTATTAGAAGAGGAATAATGGTGATGGTTGATGCTGTTTCTGAAGTCTTGAGTGTGTTAATTTTGTCTGTGTTTTTTCCCCTAATCCACATTTTTTTGGGCTATGCCATCCCTTCAGACTCTTGCCTGTTAGTGGGTATTAAGATCACTGGACTTGATCCAAAATTTGGCCCAAGAAGGTGGCACTTGGCCCTATTACCTTGGTGTTTTCCTCATGTTTCCTTTGCTAACTTCTTAGGCTCTCGTGGGGGGGTGCAGTTCCCTTCTGGCAGTTAAGGCACCTCTTTTAAGAAGGCACACTTGGCTGGATGGAGTAGGGTGAGTGAGGTTTGAGTAAATGCTGTACTTAACTGGCAGTTTGTCACCTCAGGCCATTTTCCCACAGGCTTCTTCCTCTGTCTTCACATAAGGGCATAGTGTTCCTCTCGTAAGGGCAGAGTGAGGTTCCTCTTCAGCTGCAGTTTTGGGCTTGCCAGAAGCAAGCTCAGTGTCAGGACCCTCCATACAGAGCACCCTTTTCAACCCCTCACGTCATACTCTGGCTGCAAAATGACAAGTTTGCTGTCTTTTTCCTTGCAGCAATATCAGAACCAGTTATTTCAACAAACAGAAGATGTGGATGGGAAAACAGAAATCATCATCAAGGTAAGCTGGGGATGTCTCATATTTTATGAAGTCTTTTGTTACTTGTCTCATTCCATTTAAAGATGCAGAGTTTTTTATCATTGCGACCCGAGTCATGTATTCTGTATCTGGCCTTGCCCAAGCCTCCCACGTTTTCACAATCCTTTCTCGTCATCTGGCCAGGTTAATCAGTCTCACTCACCTCTGAGTAATGGTATTGCAGCTCTAATGGACAGCTGTCACTGAGGTGTCAGAAGAAGGAAACTCGCTTTCTTTTTGTCCTGTGAGCTGTTTTTCAAAACTGCATGGTTCCCTCTGGCTGTTGGAATGGGAGTACGGGTTGAGTTAGCTCGGGACCCTTACAGCTGTGTGTGTTACTCTGTAGTCTTTCTGAGCTCTCCAGGTACAAGTGCACACACCGTGTATTTTCAACATTTTCCAATACTGTACAGGTTAGGAACAGCCTCAGTCACGTATCCCTTTGGGACAGTCTTTGCAAGTCCCAAAGAGCAGCTGTAAGCACCTTTTTGGTGGCCTGAATCTGTGGCTGTAGATCAGGTGTACAAATATAGTTCAGTCACACAACTGTTAATTGTAGGTATGTTGGTAAGATGTGAGCAGGTGGTGTGATGAACTCGGTGTTAATCAGGGCGCTGGCTGTCAGATTGGTTGTGCTCAAAAGAAAGAAGGAGCTGGTAAAACTAAAGATGCCAGTGTTGAGCTCCATGCTAACAATACTTTCACAGCCGAGAAACGCTTCCTGTCACGGCCTCGCACTGCTGCTCTGACGTGCTAATGATTTGTCAGTAATTTAATGAGTTGGAAATGGGATGCTCTGTGAAGTGCTTATTTTTGTAGTAGTTCAATGATATTTCCACCTAAATATACAGGTTATGTTAATTGATGTCACTGATACAAGATTAAAGTGATAGACTCAAAAACATCCCTTAAAAACCAGGTGTGATTTTTCATCCATGTGTCCTATCTCATCTTAGTTCTAAGTTTAAGTCCTTGCTTCTGTTATAGCTTTCTAAATTTTACACCTCTGTCTTCTGTTTCCCTGCTTATGTTGGGACACTGCTTATGTAGTTGTGCTGCTGAAGGACAAAGGAATGAGCCCACTCAGCCCATAGGAGCAGATCCCTTTTTCCTCTCTAACAACAGGGAAAGATTAAACAGAAGGGTCCTGTCCTTATTCCTACTCCTGTTGTCTTTCCTCAGACCCTCTCTCAGACGTACACAGGATTATAAACCAAACAAAACCACCAACCAAATCTGCCTTTAAAACTTTATATTTGAGATAAACTCAGAGGTCAGGTGTCCATGGCCTGTGCATAGCCTGTACATTGCTGTTTGGAACACGCCCGCCCTTGGTTAAGACCGACTCCTGCTGAGGCCTGTGGTAACCTGGCTGTGGTTAACGAGATACGTGACCTACGTGGAGGGAGGCACCTCTGTGGTACTGTGGACAGATTTTGGTGACCACTCGGTGTCTCGCTCACAGTTTTGAAGGGCTTCTTGCCAACCAGAAAGGGGTGCCTGGTACCACCAGAGAGGTACATGTCATTCCCCAGCGTGATCCCTGCTAACCTGGTGAGGAGAATGGGTCTGTGAAGGCATGTCCAGCAGCCACTGGGCCCGTTTTGTGTTCCTGTGTTGAGGGTATATTGAAAATCGGGGGCTTTACCACTGCTCCTGCATTACGTCATATTACAGCACCCGCATTACACTTCAGTGATCTCCCTGTTGTTGTTACCTCTGACGTGGTCACTTTGCCATCCATTTTCACAGCAGTCCTGTGTCAACTGCGGTCGTGAGGCAACGAACGAGTGCACGGGATGCCACAAAGTCAACTACTGCTCTACTTTCTGCCAGCGGAAGGTATAAGCTTGTTTGTGAGTTGCAGATGCAGTTGCCTGGAGAGGGCTGTGTGACCCTGGGGGGAGCCAGACGGCTCTGCCTGCTACCTGATGGGCGTAAGCAGGGCGAGAGGAATGGGCGGCAGGCCTGGCCATATAGGCAGCCGGAGCACAAACCTTGCATGGCTCAGCAGCCCCAGCATCCCAAACCCACCCTGCCAGCTGGGCCTCCGAGCAAGGCTGTAGTGATGGGGCAGGTCTGCGAGTCCAGGTCTGGCTCAAATGGGCAGGGAAGGTCCAAAGATTTGCACACACCTTCTCAAAGGTGATCTAAAAATCAGAGTAAGACCAGAAATGAGGGCATGGACACCTCACCCTATGAGCTGTGGGGAGCAGTTAGCTGGGAGCACTTCTGTAACCCTTCCCAGCCGCTTCCTGGCAAGCTGAACTCTCCCCAATACCTGTGTTCCTGCTCTGTCCCTGGGGACACAGTTCTGTTATCCTTCACGTTATTTGTGATGCTACAGATAATCCAGTGGGACAAACTGTAAGATTTTGAACATGGGAGGTGGGAACAGGTATGAGGAAGTACAGTGGAGGAAACTGCTGTGCTTCATGTTTCCCACAGACTCCTTACAAAGACCCTTGGCACACTGCTTTAGGGGAAAGGAGCATTTAGGTGGCGAGGGTTACAGCTCTGCAGGCTGTCCAAATTCTGTCTTCATCAGGTGAAGCTGGGTTTGTTGAGTAGCTGAAGAATTTTGACTGTTTCCTTTTGCCTGTCACAAAGTGTAATGGCGGCCAAGTTCCCTGTCTGCATGGCAGAAAGATTAAAAATCCAAAGAATGAACAAATGATGCTTGCAGAAAACTTAGAGAGTCCACCTGCCGCCTCCCCAGGCATCTCAGGGGCAGTAAGGCCCCTCTCTTGCCTTCGCAGTACAAAGTGCCCTGGGAAATGGCACCAAGTATGCACTGTTTGTCCCCCTCCTAGACAGCTTGTCACCTCTGAGGGGACATCTGCCCGTGCTCTGCACTGTAACAGGGTGGGAGAGTTTGAAGTGCTCATCAGTAACAGATTCCTTGAGACTCCCCCTGTATTTGTGACCTACGATGTGTGACCTCTGGGTTGAGCAAGTTAAGAGGAGTGTTTTGTTAGTTCAGACTAGAAGTTAAGTCTTGGGAGGTAGTAGGGTTTTACCAGGAATTTTATTCCTCTCCTTACCGTTACTGAACTAAATACCCTTGTGCGGTGCTGTCCTTCAGGAGTGCCAGCTTGTAGTGAGCTATCTTTCAGGAGAGTGTTTAAGTCAAGGTTCTGACTCTTTTCTAAAATTTCCACAACCTAACTGCCATTGATGTCCTGCGTTGGTTTTTGGCTGGAGAAGCCAGCATTCTGCTTCGTTTGTGTCCGCCTTGAGTATTGACCCAGTATGTGGTTCCTTTCCTGTCTGTCCGTAGTCTGGTTTGGCCGAGCACTGGGGACCTGCTGTAGCCCCTCTGTGCTGGAGAGAGCATTGCTCGAACACAGCTTCTGTTTGGGGCCCAGTGTGCTTTTGCAGGCTGCGCGCTTTCCAAGGGCCCCTTCTCTTCATGGCCTTTCCATCTGCTCTTCCCTCGCAGGACTGGAAGGACCACCAGCATATCTGCGGCCAGTCGGCCACAGTGACGGTGCAAGCCGACGAGGTGCATGTCACTGACAGCGTAATGGAGAAAGTCACCGTCTGAGCACACCTACCTCTTTAGCCGTTCATGAACAACGTGGTGTGGCCGGCTGGATCGGCAACCCGGCGTGAATGGACTGTCCTTTCCAAACCAGACTCTTCTCTCTAGCAAACTCGTTTTTGACAGACTTTTTGATACTGTGACAGCATTTGCCTACTCCCAATCCTCACTTTGAATAATACAGAGACTGTGAAAACCTCGTCTGGAAAAAGCAAACCCCACCTAAGTGCAGCCTAGCAGCTGGGAGCCACCTTCGGCTTAAGGAAGCTTCGACTTTGCTGGACTGGAACCTCCACCATGTGGATTACAGGGATGTCGTCATCTCTCTTGAGATGGATCTAAAGCAGGTGCTGCAATCAGATTTGCCAGTGTTTCCTTCTCCCTGTGCCTCCCTACCTCTTGTTTGAAAAAAAAAAAAAAAATGAACCTTCATTTGGTTTATTTAATTGCCTTGAAAAAGTCAGTACAAGTTCTTGGTTTGCCATTGGAAGGACTTTTTTTTTTCCTGTGTTCCCTCTGTGCTGGGGCAGATTTGGAACACGTTGGAGCTTCTGCACTTGAATATAAGTGAAAAATAACATGTTGTTAAATAAAATGCGGCAACAGCATAAGCGTGCCTGACGGTACTGTTTCATTCCCGCGGCAGCACTTTAGTGTCCTGATAAATGCAGCGAGTGGCTGCAGCGTGGCTGTTGGGAGCTGGTGCAGCTACAACGCAGCTGCAGTCACACACACGTCTTTACTCCCCGTCTCCGTAGGGGGCTGGCTGGGACGCATTTCTTCAGCGGGGAAAGTGCGGTCTCATCCTGTGGTGCAGCTTGGCTGTAGCTTGTGGCGGCCATCTGGCCAAAATCAGATCTGGTCAAACCCAAAGTGAGTGCTGTCCTCTCGCTGCCTTTTAGTAGCTACTAATTAAAGAAGCGGTGAGCATTAGGAAGTTAGTTGCTTAGTTCTGCAACAAAATAATTTAATTATTAATGTACTACTTTAATAATTTAGGCTAATCAGGCGCCTTATTTGTGTTTGAACGTTGATGTCCCAGCTGGAGGAGTCTCAGTAGACAGGCACGCCTTTGGTTGGTGGGGGATTTTAGCCTTGGGCATAACAGCTGCGTGGGTTACTTGTCCTGTCTGGTTATTCCCTCCAGTTTAGTGTTGGTGGGTGAGGAAGATTGTTGTTTAGCTTACATTGCAAGAGGGGTCACCTCTGACTCAACCCAGCGTCATAAATGCTGTCAAAGGGAGAAAATTCTATCCAGAGTTGCAGGAAAGTAATAATAGAGAAAAATGGGATGGAAAATACTGAAGTCTTGCACGAGTGGTTTCTCACAAGTCTGTTCCTTCCTCCATTAAGCTTAAAGGTTGTGTTACATTACACTCAGTGCGTTACAAGGAGGTGGAAGCTGGTTTATCGTCTCCTCAGACGTACCCTTGGTAGGGTTTGCTGGCAGCAGCCGGGACCTTTCCCTGGAGGGCGGGTGACAGGTCTCCAGCCCAGGTCAGTGGTGGTTGATGGATGTCACTTTCTGGCTCTTTACTGGAAAAGTTACTCCTCCTAGTGCGGAGCTTAATGGGCACGGCAGGAGGGACAGCGCCCACCCAGGCTGAAGAATTGGCATCGCAGAGGGAAGGCAGCAGCCTGCCGGCCTCCTCTGTCAGAAACCGTTCTCTAGCAGAAAGCCAGGCGGGAGCTGAAGCAGGATGAGAACGTAAATTACCTGTGTAAAACCCCTGGGAAGGAAAAAACAGGCAATTCCTCAGATTCCCATAGCAAAATGCTCACTCCTCCTGCCACCCCAGAGTAACACTTCAGTATTTGTAATGGTTTCTTCTTGCACTGTTAAATTATGATTGCCTGTTTTCTAAAGCTTAAAGTCAATTAGTTAATTGAAAAGACAGTCTTTAATTGCACCCACAGTAATACAGCCGATTTAGAGGGTTTCTCGCCTCCGTCTATTGCTCATTAAGGTTCTGACGCAATGGAAGAGCGCAAACGTCAAACACCTCATGCTGCTGTTGGGGTACACCGCCCGTTTGTTTTCAGCGACCTGCCCCAGCAGCTCCCTCGAGCAGGTGCAAAGCTCTTGGCAGCGTCTCGCGTTGGGAGTGCAGTGGAGGTTGGCTCTGAAGTGGCACCTTCGGAGTGCTAAAGCTGCTCTCAAATGTGGCTTTCAGCTGGAAAATATTTCTGTTTGTTCACTCCTTTGGCTCACCTTGTGTTCTCCACAGAGAACCATCCCTGCACGGCACGGCCGGTTTGAGGAGCAGAGCTCTGCATGGATTCAAGGACAAGTACAGCTACGGGAAGAGGTGAGACACCAGCTACTTGAGCTTGCCAGGTCTCCTGCTTGCATAGGTGACTGGGCAGTGGCTTACACAAACACAGACCAAGTACTCCACTAGCCTTATGGCATAGTTTGTGGCTGAGTATAGCTGAGCCTTGGCTACTGCCTGACTTTTGGCTCTACTGAATCTCTTAAGGGAAAAAAATTGGAAGAGAGTGGGGCAACTTTCCGAAATGAAAAAAACTGTCGGTCTGAGTTATCTGTAAAGCTCTCGGGGCACTTCCACTCAGAGCCCTGGTATCTGGGGCAGCTGTGCCCCAACACAGTGTCAAACTGTAGCACTCAAAAATGTACAATATCATCACTGTGGGGATTTGTTGATGATAAATTGATGGAGCAATTGTTAGTCAAAGAAAAACTTAAGACCTCTCTGCAGTACTTTTTCCCTTTTGTTTCTAAGCAAACAAATTATCCCTTGGAAAGCAGCAACCCTATACAAAAATCATTACTCAGAAGATTGCTGGCTTGTGCAATAATAATTTTCTTCCCTCCTGAGCCTCGGAGAACAGTACTGGCTGCTCCCTCTGCTCCCTTGGTGTCGCTGCGCTCAGGTTTGCCGAAAGGTATAAAGGATTTTTTCCTGCAGGCTGGAAATGGTTCCTGGTGGGTACTGTACGGCTTGATGAGGAATTCTGGAGAACAAGCAATTTGTGCCTTTGGATGGGTAAATCTAAAATTACAACTAGGCAGCCGCATGCCATCGTAAAAGGAACTTTGAGGTCATTTTGAATGAGGTCAGCTCTCAATTCTCGCCAGCCTTTCCTGTTCTGTGCCACAGCAGCCTTAGTGCAACCTGCTACCATTCCCAAGCAGGGAAAATACAACTAATTGTTGTTTTGTGAGCTGGGAACGAGCGAGGTGGCTGCGAGCCGTCAGTTGTGCTCGGGTCTCCTCATCGGCCCAGCCTCGCTGGGTGCTGGGAGGGACAAGCGATACTTCAAGCTGTGGGATTAATGATTCTATGATTCTACGCCACAGCAGTCACTTTAGATTTCTCCAGGTCTTGGGCCAAATTTTGGCACTTCTCAGCCAGGGTCAGCCTTCCTGCCCCGTGGGTGTGTCATAGCGTGCATCAGCAGGGCTTGGTTTTGCTCTGCACTCAGGAGCTTGGTTTGTCCTCAGGGTTTCAGTCATATGGAACTGGTGGGGATGGGCCGTTGCCAGGCTGGGCTGCAGAAAGGGAGGGCTCCCTCAGGAGCTGGAGCTGGCAGGACTCCCCCCGGGCAGGGGGAAGAGCAGGGCGTTTGTCTGTGACTCTCGAGGCCAGAGCAGCTGGAAGCTTCAACACTCTCCTACCTCCCTGGATCATGGCAGGGATGGGGGGGGGGGGGTGTTACTTTGCTTAGTGACAGCTAAGAGAAGACCAAACCAGACCAAACACCTAAATCCAAAGCACGAGCTGTTCCAAGGACCATCCCCACTGCCCTGTGGCGTCTCTTGCCAGTTATGTCAAGCGCCAAGTGTTAAAAGTGGCTATGCTTGCAGTTTCCAGTGGGGAAGAGTAACAAAGCTGCATCCACTGGTACTCACCTGTAACTCCTTATTACAGAGAGCTGGGAACCAGCATCCTTTAGCTGCCGTCGCTCCTTCCCTCCTCCCCAACAAAGACAGCAGACCTTAGGCAGAAATAGATCTTTAATGAACTATACAAAAAAAATAGCCTGCTCGTTCCTTCTCCCTGCCAGTTCCGGTGGGCTCAGCAGAAGAGGCGCAAGACTTTGCGGAAGAAGTTCCTGAACTCTGCGTTGAAAACTGTATAAATGATGGGGTTGAGCGCACTGTTGACATAACCCAGCCAAGTGACAGTGCTGGTGACTTGAGTGGGAATGGTGCAGGACTTGCAGAGAGCCCTGGTAATGTGGACCACAAAAAAAGGTGTCCAGCAGAAGAGGAAAGCACCTGCCGGAAGGACATTAAAGAGAGAAAGTGATGTGAATGTTAAAAAGGGCTTCATTTAACCAACGCAGCCTGGGCCGAACAAGACTGGAGACCGCTCAGAGTGCAAGGATAAAGTGTGGTTCTCGGCGTGACACCTCTCACTGCCGTCCAAGCAGCCGCGCCTGGGCAGTTTGGCTCCTGGCAGGGCAGTTGACAGAGCATGTGTTCGCTTCACCAGGCTCAAACAAGACCTGCCAGACTGAACCCTGCTGTAGGACGATGCAGCATGTTTCCCACCCTTCCCCAACTGTCACCAACTGCTACTCACCGACGACGACAGGCAGCACTCGCATGGCCTTCCGCTCCCGGCCATTGATCTTGGCCTGCTTCCGACTGTGTCCTGGGTGTGGGTACTTGAGGTGTGGGTAGGAGAGAGTCTGGATCCCATTGCTCATCACATAGTCCCCAGGGTGGTCAGAGCGGGTGTAAGGGTTGCAATCCTCTGGCTCCAGTCTGGTCTGCTCTCTCTCAACAAAGGTTGAGGGGTGATACAGCTTCCTGTTGGCGCCGTAGATGCTGCCCCTTAGCTTGGCTTTCCTGGCTTCTTCCCAACGCCTGAGTCCTTGGAACATGGCGCAGTAGAGCACCAGCATGACGGGGCAAGGGATGAAGAAGGAGCAGATGGAGGAGTACACGATGTAGTTGTCATCCTCCAGCTGACACAAGCTGGGGTCCCGGTTTGGGACATTGTTGAGGCCAAATATGACTGGGGATGCTACAGCAAAGGCAAATATCCAGGTGGTGGAGATAAGTATCAACTGCCGCAGGTCAATTTGTCGCCGGTTGTAGTTCAGTGGGATTGAAACAGCGATAAACCTGCCAATACAGGCCTCAGGTGAGTCAGTCTGAGTATGGCTGTGTCACCACCAGTAACATAAGCGAGTGGTCACAAAGCTGCTTGCCACTGTCCTTTCCCCCTGCTCATTTACTTACACAGCCAAGGCCTGGGCTACAGCCAGTCTCCCCCTTCAGAAGAGCACCCAAAGAGGCAGCTCTGGCCTCCTCATGCAACTGTGCTTTCCGCTTGGCCAGTACAAGGGTACTGATAGGACACAGAGCTCGTGACAGGGGAGGATGGTAGGACAGAACACCCTCCTTAGGGGAGAACAGGATCTGGCTTCCCTGCAGGGGACCCTTGCAAGGGCGTCCATTGAAGCCGCTTGATGCCAGGACACAGTGCTCCCTCCTCTGGCACGAGGAGGAAGGCAGCACTTACCGATCCACACTGATAGCACAGAGGTTGAAGATGGAGGCCGTGCACAGCATCACATCCATGGTCATCAGGGCATCGCACAGCACCGTGCTGAGGGACCATACACCTCCCTGGAACTGAAAAGATCCCCGGGTCAGCAGATGCCATGTCCCTCTGCCTTTAAAATGGCAGAAAGCAACTCCGTGCTTGTGCACCTCAGCCACTAACGTTTTCCTCCAGACAAGCAGCCTGAAGTTGAGCAGTCCTGCCTGTAGCACGATACTCCCCTTCCAGCAAAGCAGTGGCACACAGGAATTAGCCCCATGCAAGAGCTCACAGCTGACTTAAGGCTTCACTGTTCTGGCCTGGCTGGAGAATTGAGCCCACAGACCATCAGCATTGCCAAGCAAGTCGTGCTGGGCAGTATAACGGACGCAGGGCGGCCTGCTGCTGTGGGGTAGCGCAGAGTGACAGCCAGCAGGCTCAAAATCCCCAAACTCATCAAACTCACCACCCCAAAATCCCAGCAGTAACGCAAGGCGAAGCACTCGCTGCGCAGCATCGCTAGCCGCCAGTCTCTGAGGAAGCAGGGAGCGTCCAACATCCTGTTCGCAGATGATGTGAATAGTTTCTGTGCGTTACACAACTGTTTCATTCTGGCACATGAAGTGCAAGGCCAGCCTCTTGAGACTATGTTCAGGCCAGTCAGATATCATCTCATTTGCTCTCTCTACCGTTGCAGGCACCCAGAGCAAAGCAGAAGTGCTGCCAGCGAGAGGACGTGACCAGACGTGTGTCTTTGGTCCGCATTACTTGGAAGTGTTGATGCTGCTGTACAAAAGATACCAGCTATGGCTGTTTGTCATGTCCAACTCAAACACAGATCTTTTACTCACAGCTTGCAGATCTGTTCTCTGTCACACTAATGCTTAGCCATGCAGCTATGTTATATACATTATATACACATACATTTCTTTTTTTTTTTGTTCCTTCAGCTCATACTCCTTCACAGCCATATTAACAGAGAAGCTTGTGGTCACCCTCTAAGCAGGCCTACTGCAGAACTTAAGGAGCTGAGCTGTTGCAAAAAGCACCACCAGCTCACAGGCATGCCCCTGCCTGGGGCCAGAAGCCCCTCAGCTCATGGCCGCAGTCTCTGGCCTGCAGTACTGCCCTGTGCTGTTGCCTGCCTGCAGCACCCCCTGCACTAGCCTCACCCCAGCACCGTGCTTTGGAGATGAACGACCGTGCTGGTGCACCTGGATTACCAGCAGGTAGGGTCAGAGCCTATCCCAATCATTCAGACCCTTTGCAAGGTCCCATATATACAGAATATATTTCTCTCTATATATGTATTCTTTATATATTATATAGAATACACACATGTATAAAATTATATACATATCTGATACTAATAAGCTATATATTATATATTTCTGTAATAAGATATATAATATAGTA